CAGGTCCAAAAATTCACCCTGTATACCTTATTCCTAGACAGAATGATACATCTGTCAATATTACTTAAATTACAATAATTACTAAAATTATAGTATCATAAAATAACAATATTACTTTCTTTGATGCACTACTTCTCCTCCTTCAATACTGTTTTCACCACCCTATTCCTTTTCTCAAGAAGATTTCAATGCTTTCTTATTTCCTAACTTATCAGGGTTAAATTTCTCTGCCTGGCTTTTTTCAGTCCCTCACAATCTGTTCTTCATACTAAATTTTTAATCTTATTTCTCAAGATGACACAATATATACCCCTCACCAAACTTTTTTTTTTTTTTTTTTTTTTGAGACAGAGTCTTACTCCCTCACCCAGGCTAGAGTGCAGTGGCATGATCTTGACTCACTGCAACCTCTGCCTCCTGGGTTAAAGTGATTCTCCTGCCTCAGCCTCCCAAATAGCTGCGTGCTACCAGGCCCAGCTAATTTTTGTATTTTTAATTGAGACTGGGTTTCACCATGTTGTCCAGGCTGGTCTTGAACTCCTGACTTCAAGTGATCCGCCTGCCTCAGCCTCCCAAAGTGCTGGGATTACAGGCGTGAGCTATCGCACCTTCCCAATATGTACTCTTTTTAATGGTCTTGTGAATATGACATATTGGTGCCTTACCTCATGCTGTTTCCCTGTTTTGGAGTAAATTATTTTCTTCCCATCCTCTCTCAAAAAAATTCTATACATTTTTCAGGCATGTTCTCCTTATAAAGCTATCTTTATTATTTTTTTTAATACGTTAGCACTCAAACAGAAGATTTTCTAGTAGAAAGAGACTTTTAAGAGAGACTGGTCTTACTCTCTTGCTTTGCATGATATGTACTTACAGCTATTTCTTATAGCATCTAGCACAGTGCTGAGCTCAGAAGAAATGTTCAATAACTACATGACTGATTTTAAAGCTGTATGTCCCATCTTAAAACTCTACATAATCTAGGTCTGTACTTGCTTGAAATATGTAGACATTAGTTTGAGGTGACAGCCTATGAAAACAATTTAGATTTTACAACCTTTAGAAAATGGCTAAAATATTAAATAAATGGGGAGCGGGAGAGAAAGAGATTACATTGAGGTTAAGACATTTCAGTTGTTCAACCTGGACTAACTTGACCTCACCAATGAAGTCTTTGAAAAATAAACAGTTTAGGCGGAAGGCTGTTCACTGACAAATCATTTTCTATCACTGCAAAGTTCAGTAAACTACTCCAGTGAAATTCCCTTAAATGATATTCAGAACATGTTGGTGAAGAGGAGGCAATCAGTTCCCTATTATACTTTTAAAGAACATTCTCTCCTCTCTTTCTACTTCTTGTGTTGCCCCTCCCAAAACATTTCCTCTAAAGAATTTAAATCACCTTCTAACCTCTTTAAGCTTACATGCATCAATGAGGTAAGTTATAAGTTTTGCCAAAATGTACTGCTTCTGATTTTTCTATAAGACATTTTCCTTGATACTCCTCCACTTAGCTAATCATAAACCAATTTTCAACAGAAATTGTTAGTCAAATAAATCTGTGATACTTTATAAATATAGCATTTCCTAGATTGAAATGGAAAGCCTTTGCATTGGGCCAGAACTTCCTTTGTTTTGTAGCAGGCCTGATAAAATCCTGACCATTGCCTAACCTACAGTATGGGTATTAGTAGATTAATTTTGGGAGAGTCTCTTGACATCAAGAGAATATTTCCTAGCTATTTCTGTAATCAATGACTGGAAGTATCATAAAAATAATTTTTGTAATATATAAGTTTTTTGTGGGCAGAGGCCATTTTATTTTTTATAATCCCTAGTGCATATTATAATGCCTGGTACATGGTAGGCACTCAATAAATCTCTATGAACTAAATTTGTGAATAAATCAGCACAAAGACTCCACCCAGTAGAGGACTCAGAGTTTAAGACAGAAACAACACAGAGCAGTTGTCATCATTATCATTATAAATATTTATTAAATACCTAATTTGACTTGGTGGGGATATGAAATGGGAAGGAGTGTTGCAATTTTAGATAACTGGGGAAGACCTGATGTAGGTAACTTTTGAATAAAGAGATAAAAGAAGAAAGTAAAGACATGAGAAAGAAACATTGTATTCTTACAATAGAACAAGAAAAGAGAGGGGAAGGAGGTGCCATTGTGTGTGCAAGGGGTAGGCAATACAGCAGTCCTAAAGTGATTCCCTTCTACATATAACAATCCATATTGGTTCTCACTACGGTTACGACACCAATGTATTAGGATTCAGTATATGCACGAAGCCTGAACAACCCTTTGGTTTTAATTGGCAGGAGGGCTAAGGGGATGGCTTGTAGATTGAGGTAGAACAAAAAGGCACTTAAACTAGTGTCAGGTGGGACGTAACAAAGCCACTTCAGCTGCTTTTGCTAATTTCAATGCTTACATCCAAATAAATGATAGGAAACACTTTATGAAATTATTGTAATATGTAATTAGATAAGGAAGTAGCAGGAAAAATAAAGCAAGTTAACTTGAGAATCTGGAAGAGATAATGAAGGTTAAGGAGAGATGGACAAAAAAATGATGAGCAGCAATGCAAAGGCCCAGGCTGGTCTTCTGGGGTATAATAAAATGAACGTGTAACATGGCAGATGTGAGGTCAGTGAGTGGGGCTGAGGGTGGGGTTTGCATTGGTGTGTTATGAGTTGAATTGTGAACCCTTCCCCAGTTCATTTTTTCTTTTGAGACAGAGTCTGGCTCTGGTGGCCCAGGCTGGAGTGCAGTGGTGCCATCTCAGCTCATTGTAACCTCCACCTCCTGAGTTCAAGCGATTCTTCTACCTCAGCTTCCCAAGTAGCTGGGATTACACCATGCCCAGCTAATTTATTCAAATTAAAAAAATTTTTTTTAGTAGAGATGGGGTTTTTGCCATGTTGGCCAGGCTTGTCTCAAGTGATCTGCCGGCCTCGGCTTCCCAAAGTGCTAGGATTATTGGCATGAGGCACTGTGCTTGGTCCCAGCTAATTTTTTGTATTTTTAGAGATGGGGTTTTGTCATGTTGGCCACGCTGGCACGATTCTTATGTTGAAATCCTAATCCCTAGTACCTCAGAATGTGACCTGATTTGGAAATCGGGTCATTGCAGTTATAATTAATGTTCAAGAGGTCATACTGAAGCACGGTTCGCCTCTAATCTGTTATGACTGCTGTTCGTATTAAAAAGGGAATTTCGAACACAAAGCACACAGGGAGAACAGCCATGTTCGATTGGAGTTATGCTGCCACAAGCTAACAAACCACCAGAAGTTAGGAGAGAGTCCTGGAAGAGATCCTTCCCCATTGCCCTCAGAGGGAGCACAGCCCTGCCTATACCTTAATTTTAGACTTCTGGCCTTCGGAATTGTGAGATAATAATTTGCTGTTCTAAGCCACCCAATTTGTGGTATGTTACAGCAGCCCTAGGGAACTAATTTAGTGTGATTATTTTGAGAGGCAAACAAGAAAATCACCCTTAGAGAGTGAGATGCTTGATAGTCTTGTGCATCAGAAAAGTCCCATATCTTCGACTTCAGTAGTTAAATTTATTTTTCTGTTTTATCAAACCTCTTTTTAATTACCGTTTTTGCTTTAGAAAAATCCCATAAAACCTGCTCTTTGCCTAATAAATTACAGGGCTCCTGATTTGTGTGCTCGAAATACTAGTCATCAAGCAGAAACTGAGACTGTGAGAATGGGCGACTAATTAAAAAAAAAAGTCCTTTCTCAACATTGGTTTGACCTAGTGAAAGTTGACAGGTGAACCTCACTTCAGCTATCTTTCTCCCACAGGTTGTACTGCTGACTGTACTGTCTCCTCTGAAGGACTGAGGTCGCTGCAGCCTCGGAGAGCGACCAGATTCCTCAGCCCACTCGTAGAGAGGCCAGGGCAAGATTAGTGTGCAGAGAAATCGGTTTCCTCCAGCCTCCTCCCCCCGGGCAGAGGACCGAAGCCAGCCCCGGCCTCGCGCGCATGCCCGGTCGGGAGGGCACTCTCAGTGGGAGCGCCCTGCTCAGGTTCTCCCCGCGGCCGAGGTGGTGGTGGGAGCGGGCGGCAGCCCGGAGATCGCAGGACCTCCGCCGGGTTAGCTTGGCGGTGCTGCAGCCAACCCAGCAGGACGCTTATTTTCAAGCCTGGGGAACGTTTTTCCTCCCGCTTTCACAGACAGCGGGGTGGAGCACGACGGCACCCTGGTTAAAGGGCCTTTCCAGCGCCCTCCAAGAGGGAGAACGACACGCTCTTCGGCAAAATCCTGGGGCGGGCGCTCTCCTCGCTGCCGGGACCTCTGTTTCTAAGCTGTTCACAACTAGAGCAGCTTTAACTGTCCCAACAACACGCCTGCCATCGAGCGCCCTCCCGGCGGCCGCCCCTCGGCCAGCTGCCCAGCGGGCGTCCTCAGGTGTCCCCAAGAGGCGCAGGCCTAGTTGCCTACACATCCTTTCCAGCTTGGTGTCGGGGCGTCCGCTTTGGCGTCCCACCACCCCTCCCGGCTCTGCGGCGGCCCAGCGTCTTCTCGGATTAATTCCGGCCTCTGCGGCCGGGTTGCCCCGTAACGAAAGCGGGCCCAGGTTCCGGGTGGATCAGGGTGGGGAAAGCAAGGCAGCGGTGAGTCGTCTGCTAGCAGATTAGACTCAATATCCCCATTCCCTGCTTTCTCCTGGCCCACCCTCCGCCGCTCAGACGGCCACTATCAGGCTCCTCAGCGGCGGCTGCAGCCTGTCCGCAAACACACGCCCACCCGCTCGCTCACCCTCACTCGCCACAGAGGGAGGCGTGGAAAAGGCACTGAGCATGCTCGCTAGGGAGGGCGGGGCGCTCGCGAGCCGCGAGTCAGGGCCGGCGCACTTCAGGCCGGCTCCAGCGCCTCCACCGCCCTCCCGCTCGGAGCCGCGCCCGCCGCAGGCTGCGCCCGCCAGCCCCGCCCCGCCCCGCCCCGCCCCGCCCCGCCCCGCCCCCCGCCGCTCGTCCCCGCCGCGGCCGCGCCGCCTGCAGCAGCACCAGCTGCTCCTCCCCGGCGGCCGCCCCCAGCGGGTCCCTCCCTGGCTGCGGGAGAGACGGAGTAGAGGGAGGACACGGACCCGCGCTGCCCGCACCGGAGACCTTCGCCTGGCCCCGCCAGTTCCTCACCCTCGGGGAGCAACATGGGTAAGTCATCCTTCCTCCCCCGTCATCGCCTGACATTTTTTTCTTTCTCGGCGTGCTGCAGGGTGGGAAGCATTTTAAGCGCAAAGTTGCCGGATTTCTCCAGTCCCTGGGTGTGAGACTGAGGCCGTTCCTCCGGGTGGAGTCGGCGCACGCGGAACGCACGCTGGGCGCCGGGGCTGGGAGGGTCCCGAGCGCTGGCTGGGGTGGGGTCGGCCGCGGGCCGGACCGCCGCCCGGCTCCCCGGCACCTCGCCGCCTCGCCTCCCCTCCTCCATTCTTCCTGCCGGTGCCCGGGCACACAGAGCCTGCCTCGCGCGCTCGCATCCGCGGCTCCATCCCGGTTTCTTCAGAGGCCACCAGCTTCCTTTCCCCCGCGTCTGCTGAGCTCTAGGCTCGGGTCTGACTGCGGGAGAGACCACTTCGTGTAACTTCCTTCTCTGTCAGTGCGACGTTTCCCCGTCGTGGAGACTCATCTTCCCGGGGCGGGGAAGTGGAAGTAAGTAGTTTGTGAGGGAGATCTTACAACCTGCGCGGACATTATTTTCCAAGGGAAAGAGCGGACAGCCTCACAGGTTAAAGGGATGACTTGTCAGAGGCCACGAGGAACGTGAGGCAGGATAGAGCCGCTAGCTGTTGAGTTAGTGCTGGGTGACTACAGTATGCAATATTCCTGTGCTCAGCCTGTTTTCTGGATTCCTTCGTCTGTCTTCTGTAGCAGGAAACTGCTCCCTGTAACGTTGTTACCGAACTTACATGCTAGTTATTCGTTCCCAGCGTCCCCCTGTCTAATATGCATAATCTGATTTTAGTTCCTTTGTATTTATAGTTAATCTGAAGAGATTGGTTTGGATGAGATATTTAGGAGCAAATATATTTTATTAAACGGTATATAAGTTTATCCTAATTTTTTTACATCACATATTGCTTACCTGTTACATTCAGTAATCACAGAAACGTCTGATGAATGCTGTCATATAATTAAGAGCTCAAAGTTTCTTTTAATAGTAGCGACTTGAACTAAGTTCCCCAGTTTGCTTCCACTCCTGTCTGTCATAATTTCCTCTTTTTAAAATTTGCTCTCTTGGCATCTGTCGACTGGGACTTTTCCCACCCCTTCTGTGCGAGTTATTTTAAAGCTTGAGATGAATGTGGTCCTTTCATTTGTTAATACAGTGCTCAACACGTTCAGAGGTAGATCGTGCAAGTCAGAATCTTCAAGAAGTGTCTAAACCTGGGAATGGTGTCCATAGAGTTTCCTGGGACAGCAGATGCTTCAGGCTTTGATCCCGACCTTTCGCCATATATCGAGAAGAGGCCAGGGTTGACAGAGGAGGTGGTATGAATCAAGAAAGGTCTAGGGCTCTGAATTTCATTTTCAGTTGTTAAGTTGTTTTTCTTTTATGTGAGTACTCTTGATATGATGAACCAATTTCTGTAAAAACTGAGTGGCCCATTTATATGTGTCTACTTTTTCTCTTAAAGTAGAATTTTAACTACGTATTAGATTATTGGACAAGCTGTGTATTTCCGTCGAACATACACACACACGTTAAGGTATGTTTCCTTTGAACATACACACGTTTATCTGTGTATGTTCAAAGGAACTACACAGTTTATCCAGTAACCCTATCTGATATTGGACTATAAGTTCAAGTTTGGCTTGTAAAATACATTTTCTCATGTTTCCAGGTGAGCCTCAAACAGCCTTTTTAACATTTTAACGTATATGTTAAATTCTGTACATTTTCAGTGGAAAAAATCCAATTGTTATGACGCTAGTGAATAAAAATACCTAAAAGAAATTATCTACTTAAAAATAATTTTCAAAATCTTTAATGCTACTGCTTGATTTTTTAAAAAGGGCCAAATAGAAACCTATTTCTCATTTTGAAGCCATTTCAGATACTATTAGTCTTTCTTCATAGCACTATTTGTACCTTGTTAGAAGCTTTTTATCACTTACATAATCTACCATATAATGGAATTGTTTATGTGTGTGTGCTATGCATTTAATCATGAGTCCCAGAAGATGAAAAATGTCTTACTAATTTTCATGTCCCCACAGTGCTTTTCAAAAAGGAATTCAGTAAATCTTTGGCAAATTGTTGAACTTAAAAACACCTATTATTTACAACTTTTGAACCTGAAGGTATAGTCTGAACAAACATTTGGATTGGTACATATTATGGAGTTGGGGGATAAGCAGAAACAGAAGGGTATAATTGTCCCATGGCCTCTCAGCATGCTGTAGGTAGGTTTTGAGTCAACCTGAGGCAAACTATTTCCTTCTAGTGATGATGAGCATTTTTTCATATGTTTGTTGGCCTCATATATGTCTTCTTTTGTAAAGTGTCTGTTCATATTCTTTGCCCACTTTTGAATGGGCTTGTTTGTTTTTTTCTTGTTTACATCTGTTTTAGTTCTTCGTAGATTCTGGATATTAGCTCAGCTATTTCCTTCTAAACTCTTTTCAAGGGTATGGCGGTTTCATGTATGATCAGTAGGTACATATGATAATTTAAAATTGAAACCTTGGAAAACAGCTTTATATCTGAGTCAAGGAAGATAGTGTAACAATTCATGCACACATAAGAAGGTATACTGATTAAACATTGGGGGGAGGGAGAAGTGCTTTTTAATTTGTCTCAATAAATAAATAAGATGATTTTTAAAGATACTCTTGGCTGGGTGTGGTGACTCATGCCTGTAATCCCAGCAGGAGGCCTAGGCGGGCGGATCACTTGAGATCAGGAGTTTGAGACCAGCCTGACCAACATGGTGAAACCCCATCTCTACTAAAAATACAAAATTAGGTCGATGTGGTGGGCACCTGTAATCCCAGCTGTGCGGGAGGCTGAGGAAGGAGAATCACTTGAACCCGGGAGGCGGAGGTTGCAGTGAGCCAAGGTTGTACTATTGCACTGCAGCCTGGCAACCAGAGCGAAACTCCATCTTAAAAAAAAAAAAAAAAAAAGTATTCTCATGGCAATGATTTCTTATACAAGAGAGTGAAAGAAAATTCCTTTATAACTTTATGGCCACATCTACTATTTTATGTATATGTCATATTTCACATTCAACATACATTAAGTATTTGTTGGATATCAACAGTATGCAATGTCCTGTACTGCAGTGTACTGGGAGGACAGAGATAAAATGATGTTCATGCTTCAAGTTGTTTAGAATCTCAGGAACAGTATGACATATACACAAATTATAATAGAAATAAATATGTAAGTTATTTAAAAGACCTTTACATATATTATAGATTCAGGGAATGGAGAGAAGATTTTAGAGAAATGGTGTTATAAGAACCAAAGGTAGGTTCAACTTCTTAAAGGTAGAAATGAGATTGTTAATCACAATGGAGTTGGTCTGGGGTTGGAGGAGAAATGCATAAATGAAGATAGAGAGATAGGAAACATTTTAGGAGTTTCCAGAATATGATTAAATAGCATTGCTTGGCCAGAGCAAAAGGTAAGGAAATCGTGGGTAACAGACATAAAAAAGTAGTACAGTAATTGCTAATGACCAGATAATTGAGGATCTTAAATGCCAGCTGAAGAAGAATTTGAACCTGGCGTTTGAACCTGGCTTACCTATTGAGAGACCACTTAACATTTTTATGCAGTTAAGTGATCACATGTGTGGTATAGGAAAATCTGTCAGTTGAGTGCAGGATGGATTAGATGAGAAACTAGAGAACACTTCCAAAGATGGTTGTTGCAGTCTGGATGAAAATGTTTAATGACCTGAACTAGCTTGTGGCAATGGGAATAGAATATTGCAAATAAAGAATAGGATTTACTTGGCAACCCATTGAATATGGAATTGAGTGTCACAGGTTTTAGCCTGGGTGATAATGAGGATATTAAAATCTCCTGATATATATTCAGTTAACAGAAAAAGGAACCGTAGATACTCAATTTTGGACCTATTACATTGAACTTTTCTGTCTGTACTCCTTAATGACATTTAGTCTCTATTCCTTAATGACAAGGATGTTGTCATATTAGGATTTGAATACATTTCTAACACTAGTGTCTGGCACATAGTAGCTATGTAGAAAAATTTGTTGACTGACCGAAACTAGGTGAAAAATAGTTAACAAACATTTATTTTAACTTTTGAGAGTACAATTTGAATTAGAGATCCGGAAGTTATCCACAAATATCCTGAGGTGATATTTGAAGTTAGGTCAGAGGACGAGAGTCAACAAAGAAAAAGAGGAAAATTGTCCATGGTAATAATCTTGAGGAATGGAGTTCCTTAAGTTTTCCATAGTTAGGGAAAAAGAAGTGGTATGATTTGACACTGAAAAACAGGTAAGAGTGAAAGACTAGAATTGGTATATGGTTGTTTTTAAGAAAGAGTGAATAGTCAATAGTGTCTGTTTTTTATAATAGGAGGGTAATAAGGACTGAGAAAAGGCTGAGTGCGTTGGTTAGGATATTACCCAGTATATTTTTCTAAAAAGCAACCTTAAGAGGTCTAGTAGATATGGAGGTCAGTTGTAAAGGCTGAATGAATAATGAGTAAGTGGGAACAGTTCACTAGGTATAGTCATGCTGTATTTCTCACCTTGTTTAAAGATCTGTGAGAAAACATAGAGTTTTAAAATTATTTTTAACTCACTCTACATGACAGATATTATATTTTAGAAAATATTTTAAAATTTTAAATGTATTTAAATTTATAAATATTAAATAAAATTTTTTAAGTGTTCCATTTTACATGGAATGACATGTGCTGTTTTCTTGTCTGAGAATAATTTTTAATTTCACCATAGTGCTTCACATTTCTTTGACATTTCATTTTTAATGTCTTTGTGACTTAGTATAGTATAATTTTTATTTTTATAATGTTATGCAAAATGAGTCTAGAATGATTTTGTAATTTTGTACGGCATTTTGCCTAAATAATACTCTTCACTGATGCCTGGTTTTATCACGTTTAGACTTTGTGAATTTGAGACTTCTTTAGATTTTAATTATGCTTCTA